CAGCAGGAACTGCAGGCACGAGGTGTGCCCGACATGGGGATGCACGGTTGGAAATGAGGAGGAGCTTGGATGGACTGGATAAGGTTTGGGAGCACCGATTTGTATGAAAAGAAATGCATGAATCTTAGCTTGTATGTGCATTAGTGAGAAAACTGCTTACTTGCCATTGACGCCTGACATACCTCTCACTTTTTTTACAGTTGTAAGCAATTTAAAACCAGTGAGCCTGACTCACTGCTATGGTAAACCAGTAGAGCTCTGGTGTCTTGAAGTCAGCCAAACCTGCAAGATGGTCTAGGCAGAGTGCTTGAATTTTTGTCTGTTTATAAATGAATTTGCCTTGGAGCACCCAGACATCCAAGCTGCACACCTGGCAAGACAGGAGGTCGCATAATGCAAGGGGAAGCACAGTGCTATGTCTCCGTAGGAAAGTATTTCCCAAGGCCAGAGTGTTAGGGAACCATTTAAAGCTGGGGAATCATATATAATACAATGAAAGGAGGGAATTTCTCTGGCTTTCTTCCAAAAGCCAAGCATTATTCATTGATCAGAAAACAGATCTCCGTCTCTACTGAGAACATTTTTTTCCTCCATTTGCTAAGTGGAAAATGACAAATGAGCTAGCTGTGCCCTCTCCCACATCCTTTCTCCTTCCGTCTGTCCAGGTGTCCCCATTGCTTCACCCTCCCTTAGCGTACCACAATCATACCAGCAGCTACTTACTTGGCACCGCTAGCAACCTCGGGGGCGGTGGAGGTGGAGGAGGCGGTGGTAATGGTGGAGGTGGCCTGCACTGGCAAATTTGCTGGCAGCTCTCTGTGACTTTCTCTGCTACAGGCTTGGAACATGACTTCTGGGGCTCACCCTGAGTGACCTGTAAAGAAACAAGTCATTGCATGAGCAGCACAAACAGTGAAATCTGGTTTTCCATGAACGTGTTTCTTGGACCTGAGTTGCCGAGTAGCACCTCAGACCTGTAGTGAAAACTGAGCTCACATCCCTCAGTAACGCCACTACAAGGAGGTCTCTTCCCTATGTGGTCCCCCCTTTTTTTTTTTTTTTA